CCTCCTCTTCCCTCCTCCTCCCTCCTCCCTCGCCCTGCCTCCCACCTCCCTCCCTCCTCATCCCTCCTGTTCCCTCCTCCTCCCTCCTCCCTCCTCCTGCCTCCCTCCTCCCTTCTCCCCAGCTCGAGGCGACTCCTGCGGCCGCGGCTGGTGTGCCGAGGCTGCCCCAGGCGGGCGGCACCCGTGACACGCAGGGCGGTACGGCGGGCGGCGCGCCGAAGCTGCTGGCCGCGCTGCGTGCCGAGGCCGAGGCCCCGCCTGGGGTGCTCGGAGGCCCGGCGGCCGCCAGCTCGGGCCACGCGCCTCTCGGCCAGGGGGGGAGAGAGGGAGGGATTGGGGGAGAGAGGGAGGAGGAGGGGGATGAGGAAGAGGAGGAGGAGGAGGAGGAGGAGGAGGAGGAGGAGGAGGAGGAGGAGGTAGACGAAGGCGGAGGAGGCGGAGGAGAGCAAAGGAGGGCGGAGGGAGGGAGGGAGGGAGGGAGGGAGGGAGAAAGAAAGGAAGACGGCCGAAGCACCGAGAAAGTGATTGGCGTGTGGAACTACGGTGAGCACGTGTCCTCCAAACCAGCACGTATCTGCCCCTGCAAGGTTGACTAGATCATGCAGGAGAACCGCCTGGGCTGAAACATTCAGGTCGTTGGAGATCTGGGCACGCTCCTGGGCAGGGTGTGCTGTCAAACTCCCATCGGCGATCAATGGGCGATTGGGGGTCGAAGCGTCCCCAGTATGAGCCTATCCTATGGCCCTAATGGTTTTCGGGTTGTAACTCGGGCCTCCAGCAGCCGCTCGGGGCGACCCGCGAGCCCCTGGAACACACGCGGCCCGGCGAGGGCTCCCAATTGCCGAAAACGTCAAACAACCTCCCGCCCGGATGTTTCGTATGACGCGAGCGTGTCTGGCAAAGGGTCTGGGAGCCCATCCCACCCTAGAGGCCTCCTAGACGGGGCCAGAGTATATCGGGTCGGAGGATCGCGCCGAATCGGCGACGCATCGCTGACGCATTGGCGATGCGCCCGCGACGGCGGCGATGTATCGGCGACGTCGGCGTGGAGAAAATCGCGCTCCACATCGAGCCGAATCGCCGATGAATCGGCGATGCCGCGAGATCCTCCGACCCCATCTACTCCGAACCAATCTGGGAGGCCTCTAGCATCTCTGGCAAATTGGGAAGACATGATACTCGGGTTTGGGGGACTCGGGTTGGCCTGACGAAGCCATCATTAAAATGACATGACCCAATCTGAAATTTGACGCGACCTCCCGCTGCAAACATCCCACGAAAATTTGACCGTCAAAATCTAGGACACGCTCGTCAGAAAGTCTCGGCAAATCCGAGTTCCAGCGCACTCGAGTCTCACCCAAACATGCGACGTCCTGTTTCTGTCAAAACGGGGTCCCCCGAAGTCCCGACCCTTTCTCCATGACGGACTTTTCATCCTGAGTCGTTCTTTGACGGTCCCAGGGCCCAGTCCAGTCAGGGCTCCCAGGGGCCCCAAACGGTTTTTGTTCAGGACGCGAGCAGGTCTGGGTACCCAGACCCCCCGACGTTGTGAGTTTTCACGACGTCGAGGTCTGGACCCCCTCCCGGGGACCTGTCTGTCTTCCCAAGTCGTTTCTTGACGCTCCCGGGGCCCGGCGAGGGCCCCCGAAGGTTGCAAATAGCCGAAGAAAAAAACAACAACTCCCGTCGCGCTTTTTTCCACAACGCGAGGGGGTCTGCAGAGCGCTTCTCTAACCAGCCTCGAACGTATCCCTATCCCTAAGATCAACAAGCCAAGAGTCGACGACAGTCTCAGGGATGCGCCCTCAGAAATGGAAGGAATCCCTGAGATCGGCATCGAGATGAGGCGATGCCACTCATGGGGATAGGGATGTGTGTTCCAAGCTGGTGCCTCTCCGAGCAACAGGCTCGGGCGCCCGCCCCCCCGAGGGCCCCTCCCGGAGCGGACGGCCCGCCCCGCCTCGCTCGCGTGGCTTCGCCGCGGGCCCCCGCGGGCCGGCGGGGCCGGGCGGGCCCAGCGCAGCGCCTCACCCCATGCCCAACGGGGGGAGGGGAGAGAGGAGAGGGTTTCCCAGACAGGCTCGCGTCGCAAAAAATCAGGACGGCCAATTGTTCGCTACTTTCGGCCCCGGGGGGCCTTCGCCGGGCCCCGGGGCCGTCAAATAACGACTCAGGATGAGAAACTGGCCCCGTGGAAAGGGTCAGGACTTCTGGTGGACACCCAGATATCGACGTCTTGAAAAAATCAGGACGTCGATGTCTGGGTTTTTATTGTGTTGCATCTTCGGGGGACCTTGTCTGTCCCGTCGCGCCGATTCCAAAGTCGAATCTGTGTCGAACGCGTCGAATCCGTGTCGAATCCATGTCGCTTCCGTGTCGAACCCGTGCCGAATCCACGCCGAATTCCGCGTCGAGCCCACGTCGGAGTACAGGAAAAGACTGCCATTTACAGGATAACGCAGGCCCCCCGAATATGCAAAGTAATTGTTACAGCACGCTGCGCACCACGAGGCTCCAAGCCAAGACCACCTCGAGTCATTACGAAAATCACAGCGGGATGTTTTGTCGGTACTTTTTCGACCCCTAGGGGCCCTGCCCTGACTGGACCACGGGACCCTCAAACACAACTCGTGACGAAAAACCGGGCCCCGAATAAGGGGAAGGGGGTCAGGGCCAACGCTGCAGGTTTAGGAGGTTCGAGGTTCGAGGTTTTCATGCGTTTCCCGTGGGTTCTCGGCGGCGTTCCAGCCTCGGGGAAGCATCTCACACGTCCGAACGCCGCACGGGGAGCGCTTCTCGCACCCAGGAGGGAAATAGAAGAGGCGGGAAGAGATGGAGGCAAAGACGTCAGACGTGGAAAGAACCACTGGAGCATCAGAGCGCGCCAAACGTTCTGCCAGGCGGCATCGCCTGCTACGGCGGAGACTGCGGGGCCACGTCGCCGAACCATTTGCACTGCACGCTTGCTCATTCTGGGCCACGGGCTTCTGGTGAGGGGCGCCGGCGCAGCGCGGCCTCGCCCCGGCACGTGGGGCGCAGGCATCGCCCACGCAGGCATGCGATGGCAGAGGGCGCCAAGGGCTGCTCCAGCGTGCTTGGCTTAGGTCGGGCATGTCCTGCTACAGTCGGGTCTTGGAATAACAAATCAAGACAGTCAGCAAACAAGTTCAACCATAAGCAGTAATATCTAGAACACCGTCCCCAGATTATGTTCTGATTATGCTTGAATGTTCCTTCTGTTGAGGGGCAGGCCATCGAGCAAAGTATCGAAACGGTGTCGAATGAGTATCACCTTTCCCAGGGCCTAACCACGTGGAAACCCTCCATTTCCGGTACTTTCTCGTGGTGGTCGACATTGTTTCTGGTGATCAGGGCTGAAGCAGGTTCGAACATCATCAGCCAAGGGCTGCTCAAGGAGTGCTCGGCTGCCCAAAAAAAACGGCAAGCCTTTAAGAACCCCCCCGGGGTTATCGTTAGCACCGCACCAAGATCTAATATTTTCAGGGGGTCGGTTTCGCAGAGCGGTATCTTTAGCACCTCGCACACATCAAAACACAACATTCCGTGGCGCGTCGCGCGCCGCGCGCCGCGCGCGAAGAAATCCTTGGGGATGCCTTTGGATATGCTGTGCATGTCCTAAGACATTTCACGGACCAGCAAAGGATTTCCTCGGGAATCCCAATCATCCGAGACTCCTAGGAGATGCTAAGCGCCCCTCGCATGTCCTTGGGAATGCTGAGGACATGCGAAGGATATGCTCAGGATTTCTTGGGGGCTGCTATGAATGTCCGATGACATGTCAGGGATTTCCTGCGAAATGCCAGGGATTCCCTAGGAGAAGCCAGGGATGTTCTAACGATATGCGTTCAGCAGAGGCTAGCAAGGCTTGGCATGGGCTTGGCATGGGCTTAGCAGGGCTCAGCAGGGGGCGAGCCTGGCTTAACATTGCTTAGCAGGGCTTAGCAGGAGCTAGCAGGGCTCAGCAAAGCGTAGCTTGGCCCCGAGCGCTCTCTGCGGGCTCCTCTGGTGCCGAGGTAACGCTTCCAGGGTGCCGGATGCGTTATACTTTCGCCGGATGGAGGGTGGGGGCGAAGGGGGTTCTCAAAGGCTTGATGCGGTTATTCGTTTGGACAGACGCTGCGTGCTAGCTGCCGAAGTGCCGTGCGCCAGCGGCGTCACACACACACACACCCGCGATCGGCATGAGGCAACCGCACCGATCACTTGTCTGATGATTCGACCCACAAAAAGGCCCCTAAGCCTTCGGGAGGGGACCTCAGTTAAGAGGGCCAAACATTGGGGGTGGACAGAACCCCTTTTAGCAAAACGTTGTTTAGCGAAAGCGCCCTCGGGCCCAAACCTGGCGGGCGCAAGTCTAGAAAATGACAGCCGCGGCGCCCTCTCGAGAGCTGAAAACGGACAATTCATTAATTGACGTGTCAGGGTGGGGTTGTCCACCCCCGAACATACCACACCACACATATCCACGATGCCCAATGCAGGACGGGAACCTCGGTGAGGCCGCGTATTCATCGTGGTATTCGGGTTCGGGGTTCTGTTGTTCTCGATGATATGATGCATCTGTTTTGGCAGCCATCCAAACGCCCGGTTCGAGCTGTCGCCCCAGGGCGGAGGAAGGGGAACGGGGGATTCAAGCATGGTCCCCGCTCGCGGTCCTCCTAAGAGGCGGCAAGCCTTAGGAGCTCGAGCTGGGCTTTAGAGATGGAGGGAGGGCGGATGATGATGCTGCTGATGATGGTGATGGTGATGGTGGTGGTGGTGGTGCTGGTGCTGGTGCTGGTGCTGATGCTGATGATGATGAGGATGATGATGTCAGGCTCCATAGGGGGCTAGGTGCCTTGGTTCAGCAGCTCGCGAATGGCCCTCTTGCGCTTGGCTACTGCACGGGCCCTCGCCCGCATCAAGGCCTCCACCCTGACAGGACCTGCCTGAGACGACTGTGAACGGATGGCGTTATAAGTTGTGAGTAAAAGATCATGCATTAGAATGGTACCATGCAAGGCTCGGCTGGACGGCATATGAGGTCTCAACAGCAATCGACCGAGAGCATTCCACTCGAGAAAATCAGGCGGCAGCGACGGGATGATACTAGGAAGCAGTGGCAGAAGCACAGGACATTGAAAGTAATGCGTTATGTGGTCGGAGTCTGCGGCACCGCAGCCCATGACGCAACAACGGTTCCCTGACCGAAATCTGGCCGACGTGGGCCACGCGTTACAAACAGATTTGAGGAGAGAGGAGGCAACGAAGGGGGCTTGTTTGGTAGCGGCGAAGAAAATGGCTCGAAAAATAAAATCGGCGTGGCTTACGGGGGCCTCACTCCAGAACTTCCGAATCCTTGGCAAGAGCAGGACTGGCATCGAAGGACGTCCCTGATTTTTGGCAACGGCAATGGTGACTTTTCGCTGGACGTCGTGCGTATATTCGTTGATCGTCGGGCAAATCGTCGTGAGCTCGTTCCAGTTCTTAATCAGGGAGCCGCACATAGACTCCGCAAGCCAAGACTTATGCCGAACAACAGCCAGCCGTTCGACATCTTCGTGCTCAAGAAAATGCAGACGCTCCTTCACTCTCGCGAAGGCTGAACTCTGGAGGGCGATCCGAAACATCGCGGCCTTGTTCGTGGCCTGGAGGTTGCGGGGCTCGACAGGGAACCCAAAGTCCAGGGAGTTCTTGAGGACCAGGGTAGGGATGGCGTGCCTCGGACCCATGGTCAGCCTTTGAAGAGCGTTCGTTTCGGCTCGGATCACCTCGGGCCTAACCGGTAGTACCTGCATCAGGTACGTCAAGATCGAGAAAGCTAGCGAGTTGTAGGCGTAGATGTTCTGAACTAAACCGAGCTTCAGCGTCTTAATATGCCCGATCCTGGAAAGAAATTTGACCAGAACAAGATGCCACGAAGCCGCAGGCCCAGTCGGGCCGATCATTACCCCAAGATATTTCCCGTGGGTGCCGACCTGGAAGGACTTTATGTTGATCCCCCACTTTTTGAACTCTTTATTTAGCTCGGTTCTGTCGAACTCCACGGCAAGGACAATCACGCACTTCTTCAAAATCGGGAGCAGACCAGGTCTGCTCCCGATGATGAGGATGATGATGATGATGATGATGATGATGAGTACGTCGATGAGGATTTTCCTCGACGTTAGGACCAACATCTGATATAAAGATATGGCGCACAATGAAGCCAGACTCAAAGATCCGTCGCAGAGAGCCAACTGTCTCGCATTGCCCCGCGTGGGCCAAGCTGCCAGGGTGCTACGCAGAGGGGCCTCCTGCGCAGCGCATGCCGAGCAACGTGCAGGTGCTAGCTGAAAAGATATTCGGCCGCATCATCTTCGGCGATTGTATCAGACTCAGGCGGGGCCTCCACCTCGCATAGCTCCTGTGCTGGCACGGCAGGAGGGTGGGGTGGAGACGCGACGGAGGAGGGAGGGTACGTGACCGTGACCGTGCTGCTGCTGGCAGGGAGGTCTTCGCCTCGAACAAAATTGACACGGCGCTGAATTGCCTCCTCTCCGCTGATGCCTGCATTGTGCCATGCAGGCTCGCTCTGGCAAAAAGATGGGCTCGCTGCTCGAGGGTCTCCAGCCAGTGGCCGACCTCCTCCTCGAGCCAGCCCGCTGGGGCCACGCCTCTGTGGTGGGCCGCTTGGCCCTCGGCCTCGAGGGCGCGGCTGATCAAGACTCGGCCCTCCCACATGGGCGCGCCGATCACCAGCTTCGTCTTGGCGTCGTCGTAGCACTTCCCCAGGCGCACGAAGGAGATGACGTCGAGGAGATCCTCCTAGCTGATCTCCGCCTCCGCCTCGATGTCCTCGGGCTCCGCTCGGAGCAGGTAGTTCCGAATGGCGCCTTTCATGGAGCCGCCCACGTCGCACTTGCGCAGTCCTTCCAAGGCCGCCAGCGCGAGGGACGGGGCTGGACACCCTATCTCCTGCAAGCGTTTCTTGTCCTCTGGGGTGCCGCTCTTCCTGAGGGAGTCCAAGGTGTGCTTGTAGCCCTCGAGCTCCTGCGTGATGGCTATGATCACTGGGTGCTCGTTGCTCATCGTGTAGGTGCCCGTGTTGATGCTGCAGTTCAGCCTGGTCTTGTGCGTCGTCTGGAGCAGCAGCTTCAGGGTCGACCGAAGCAGGTCCAGCAAGTTCTTGCCCTTGCTGCTCCAGGCCTTGGGGTTGTGAGTGCCGCGGCGCCCGCGGCGTCCTCCGCGGCGAGCTGGGCGTCGGCTGGGCTGGTCGGTCTGCATATCCTTCTCGCCGTTGTCTCCCTCGTCCACCTCGATGGGCGTGGCTGCTGGCGCGGCTGCTCCCCCTTCCTCGGCTGGTGTTCGCGGCGATCGCGATCGCCTCTGCGGCGGCGGCGGCGGGCCTGGCGGGCGTGCAGCCTTTGTCGCCGTCTGACCTGCCGCGGCGCTGGAGGCGGCGCCTGAGCCCTTCGAGCCCTGGGAGGAGTCCAGCGGGAGTCGCCGCGACGCTCTCTGCTTGGGCGTCATCCCCTGGTCCAGGAGGTAGCGCAGGAAGAGTAGGCGTAGAGGAAACAGTAGCCACTCGGAGTGACCCCTGAGGTGTTGCATGTACTTCTGCTAAACGCTGTGCTGCTCGTAGCCGTCGAAGTGGTCGGTGTCTCGCTCTGCTGCGAAGGTCGCCGCCCACGATGTGTTCCACCGACTGACGAATGGCAGCGCGTGCGGCAGGAGCGCCCTCGATAGCAGGCGAGGGGCGGCAGCTGGACGGCGCGGGGCGCGGCGGGAGAGCACTCGGAGTGGCCGAGCGCGAAGGCTCGAGCATGGAGCCCGATGGCGACGGTTGAACATGTCCAAGGACGTGAACTCGAAGTTTCTGATGATCATGGTATTCATGTTGGCATGCATGGTCCAAAGCGCAGCCCCGTAAAGGGCATGTAATGCATGTGGCTGGGACCCAGGGGTATACATGATGCGTGAGCTCTGGAATGCATCTACATGCTTGCCATGCTCGTCGTATATGTCTAACTGCGTGATCTTGATTTGGGAACGTAGTTTGGCACACAATACATTTGTTGTCGATCTGTAATGTAGTCAATACCGCTGGCATACCGTGTCCTAGGCTCTTAGATGTGGTTTGATGTGTGGCGAGCTGTTTGAGCGTCCCGAACCGTTTCTGGCACGACTCGATGTTGCACACGAAGGGGCGGTTCGTCTCGTCATCGGTGTCCGTCTCGTCGCACGTTGCCGCCGAGGGGAGAGAGGAGGTGATCACGCTGGCCTCGGGGGGGGCCCACTGAGTCGTCCATAGGAAGCCCTAAGAGCCCGAACGTCGCATTGAGAAAAGCCTCTCGAACCCACTCGTCATCCCACAAGTTTTTGACAACTCGAGGTTGCCGCGCTTCCTGGAAGCTCTCGCCGATCGCGTGGGACGATAGGCACAGCAAATCGTCCACGAGCTGCGTGGCCCACGGGTGCACGTTCGGGCCTGCGGAGATCTCACCCTGCGAATTGAGGGTGCCAGCGCTGACGGGGCGGTTGCTTATGGCCGCCTGCTGCTCGAACTTGCACCTTCCAAAAAAGAAGCGAGAACGTGGCCATGATGAGTGTGCGATCGGATTATGCTCTGCCACCAACTGGGCCTGCGCACGAGAAGTTCAATGGCAGCCGGTGCAACTTGCAATTCAAGAAAAACTTGGCGGGTGTACAGGGGTCGATGATTGTTGTACTCATCCTCCTTATGTGCCGCTCCTCTCATCATTGATCGTAGTTTACGGGCCAGCGCACTGTCGAGTCTGTGGAGCTCTCTGGGGGTCAGCACATAGCTTTCGAGGCCAGACCAAACCCCCCCAGCGACGTTGGACACGAACGCGAGCCGTTTAGCCTTCCAAGGACGTCCAGAAAACCAGTAGTCGCCCAGACGGCACCACCCAATCTTACCTGATTGTATGCGGGCCTCGACTTCACGACGATTACTGTTAGCGACATGCATATATCCTCCGAGACGAATCAAGTCCTGAACTGCGTTCCCAGAAATATTCCGTTCGGCCTCCTTCGCAGCCCCGTGAGTGCCCAGTGGGACCAGGGTGTCCTGCTTACTGATGTTCTGTGCGTAGCCGCCAGCCTCGAGGGCCTGGGAGAGCGCGTTGTTGTCGACCTTGTCAATCTGCAGCGCCTGGAGGGACGTGCCATCTGGCAGCGAGAGGATCTTGACTAGATCGTCAATGAAAGCTCCAAGATGCGCATCGTACTCTTCACCAGTGAAAGGGCAGTGTACCTGAAACGGGTTTCCCTGGACCTGGGCCATCTCCTGGGACCACTGCATAACTAATGGATAAAAACACCGGACAGCTCGCCCCTTGGCCCCCCGCCAACCCCATGCCAAGGGGCGAGCATATATACGGGCGCAGCACCTCGCTGGAGGCGTAGCCGTCGGCTGGGCCGACCATGCAGATGATGCATCGCGTGGCGGCTGGATGCCCGCGCCGAGCACAGAGCTCTTCTCGGTTCCTCCCTCCTCTTCCTCCTCCTCCTCCTCTTCCACCTCCTCCTCCTCTTCCTCCTACGACTCCTCCACTTCCACCTCCTCCTCCCTTCTGCCGCCTCCTCATCCCGTCCGCGTCCTTCGCCCTCGAGCTGATCTCCCCCCCCCGTCGTCCATTTTCAATGAAATCCTCCTCCCGCCGCCTCTTGCCTTGTCCTCCGCCTTCCTCCTCGTCGGCCTCCTCGTCCAGCGCCTTCCTCTTCCCCCTGCCACTCTCCTTGCGAGCACCCTCTCCACGATCTCCGTGCCCTCCTTCCACCCCTCCTCCTCCCTCGTCCTCCTTCCATCGCCTCATCCCCGCCGTCATAATCATCATCGTCATCATCCTCATCCTCATCATCATCATCATCATCATCATCATCGTCCTCCTCAGCATCATCATCATGATCATCATCATCATCATCAGCATCATCATCATCATCATCATCCTGCTCCTCCTCCTCCTCCTGCTCCTGCCCCCTCCTCTTCGTCGTGGGTGCCATCTCTGCTGAAACTGCACAAGCCGCCCCCGTGCGAGAGCCCTTCCGCACTCTCCCGGTAGAAATAATGGTAGAAATGGCACCGGCCGTCGCCGCCACGATGATTGCGCAGCGTTTCCACCCTGGAAAGTGCTCACAGTTCCGCAGTGAAGTCAGGCAGTGACAATTGCTCAGCTGCTGTTTCGGCCAAGCCGCCGATCGTGTCCAGCACAGCTGCTTCGGGAGACCCCCGTCTCAGCAACAGCTCTGCAAGGATCGACTGAAAATGTCGAAGCGCATTGGCTTCGAGCGGTGGCCATTTCGCAGCTTCGTACTCTTTCCGTGCCAACAAAGACCGGCTCTGGTTGATCTTGGCCAACCGGTCGAAATTCAAGCCACGCTCCAAAGCAAGGCCAGTCAAGGCAGGCACCCGAGACAAGACGGTAAACGTACCGCCCAGATGCATTTCCGTGTCGCCCAAATTTGCAGCAACACAAGGAATTGTCATGCCCTGGGACTTGTGCATCGTGATCGCAACTGCCAGTCTTAATGGCAACATTGTCCTCGTCATCTCGCGGCCTCGGCGGTCCCGCCACTCACGCGTTATGGGCGGCACGGGTACGAGCACCCGCCGTGGAGCATGAGCCTCCACGCCTCTTGGGCAAGTTTCAAAACCAGGGCAAACGTGGCGTCTCCCGCCCTGGGTCCGCTCACGAAACCCGTCGCACAACTTCCGGCCAAACAATCGGACGGCCAACGCCTCGTCGGCGCAAGTAAAGCCAGAGCCACGTGGAAGTTTATCAACGTCCACGGCAAGTAGTGCAACAAGCAGACATGTTTCCCACGGAGACTGCTCACAAATAAGATCGACGAGTTCACCGGTCAGGCCGTTCGTCAAGCCTGCGCGGGTCCAAAGATTACTAGTAATCATGTGCGGGGCACCGACGACGTGCCAAGCCGTCCGTTGTAACCCCGCCGCGTGGTCGTCACTAAAAGACGCAGCCGCGGCGACATTGTGAGTCGCAGGCACGTGGGCCACGCGCGGGAACCGCACGCCGAAACCACGCGCCATGCATGACAAGTTCGCCGCGCGCGCTAAAGCTTTCGTCTGGTACAACCGCATGGCGTCGCTGAAGGAGTCGCGCTCGGCAGGTGGCAACTGGGTCTCGACGCGCTCGCGGAGGACGCGCCAATCGTCCTCTACGAACTCGCCCTCGTGGGCACGCCAGAGGAGGTCCGCATAGGTACTGTCCCCTTTTTGTCGCACGCTGCCCAGTAAACTCCAAGAAACATCAATTGACTGGATCAACCGGTCGCCTCGCAGCCCCATGGCGGAGTGGGTCGTCTTCCACCATTTGGTGTCCATCACTGGTGGCAGCTGGCCCAAGTCACCAATCAAAACGTATGAAGCAAAGCGCCTGAAACCATTCGAAATCTCTGTCAAAGAGGCGCCGCCTGCAAGGACGCCCAAGGCCAGGGCCCCCATACGTAAAGTCGGGGCCGTGCGCGGGAAACCGATGGGAACAATCAGCCCAGCGGAAACCAGCGGCACGTCCCCGACATGTTGAGGGCCCCAGCTTTGGCCATCCCGGCCATCGAATCGCCCGTCGCAGTAAGGATCGAATGGATACATGGACCGACGGCCTTGAAGAGCCTGAGCCGCTCTGCAGTCGAAGGCGCCCAACATTTGCAAGCCCATCATCGACTTCTCGTCGTTGAACAGAAGCCAAGTAGACTTAAACGCATTTTGGATTCGTGCAAGGAGAGCCGCCGCAGGCTCGCGTTGAGCATCGTGCCAAGCCTTCGTGGGCAACCCAGCAATGCTGTGGCAAGTGTTGCCGCCTGCCACGACGGCGGCACAACCGGTAGGGGCGACTGCCATGGCGTACATGTGCGCATTGGGGAGCCCATATTGTTCCGCCATTGCGCACAAGGCGTGGCACATAGTGTGTACGCATACTGTTTTGCCAGACCCAGCGGTCCCGTTGACGTTCGCCACTAAGCCGCCGATCTTCTGGGAGTCAACAGGCCACACGCGACCAGTTTCGAGCAACTGCAGTGACAGCGTCAATACCCAGGTAACGAATGGATGTTGCGTCGGTCTCAACCTAGACTAAGGGACCGCTTTGGGAAAACGATCTTTCAAGAACTCCTTCAATGTAGTCCCAGGGGCGAGGGCCAAGTCGTCTGACCCCCCTTTTTGCCTAAACACTTGCACGCGCCAACGGTCAACGTCCTCTTGTACGTAGTGCTCCCGAGTGTGCTGGACCCAATCGAACTGCCGAGCACGCGTTTCGTCGAACCCACGTAGAGACTCAGCATCCCCTGCTTCCCTTCGAGCTGCAACACCCTCGAGGTGAGACCGCAACGCGTCAGGAGGCTCGGCATCTGATCGTTCAGACCTGCATCGGGCCACTAAGATCTCGAGTCGGGAATCGGACCAACCCATCGCTCGCACCAACGACGGACTCGGAAATAGAGCTGGCCTTCCGTCCCCACCGATCCCTCCTGCTCATGTTACTCCTCTTCCCCCCCATCATCGTCGTCATCGTCATCGACGTCATCGTCGTCTCCGTCGTCGACGACGTCGTCGTTGTTTCCGTCTTCGTCGTCGTTGCCGCTTGCTACCCACCCCTGCGGTAAATCGACAAGCCCGCGAAGTCAGAGGTCGAATGCACGCAGACGGGCCCGCTGGGGGGGGCCCAGCGTGGGTCCAGCCCGGGAGCGTGCAACGCCAGGGCGGGACGATTCGAGGCAGCCCCAGGACAGCTCTCGGCGAGGGCCGCTGCCCCGGACACGTTTTTATTCGACCCGCAGTCGAATGATCTGTCCTGCATCCGACCCCCCTGCATTCGACCCGCGGTCGAATATGTACGCAAGCTGGGCTGAATCGATCCTTCAACGGCCAGACTGGGAACTGTCGTGCCTCCAGTCCTGAGCTCCGCTGTCTGCCCCCCCGTGGATTGCACTACCCACAAGACATCGTTCACGGACGGTGTCCTGCGAACGCGGCCGAAACGGGGGAAACAAATCCTGCCCCCCCCAGAAGAGGCGCACCGAGTCCGTAGCATCGTGTAGCCGTGTTTCGGAAAACCCGCCTCCTTATCTTCCACCGCCGGCGGAAACCGTGGCAACGCCCAAGACGGGCACAGACGCTGTCCTGCGAACGTGGCCGAAATTGGGGGGACAAATCCTGCCCCCCCCCCCACCACAGAAGAGGCGCGCCGAGTCCGTGACATCGTGTAGCCGTGTTTCGGAGAACCCGCCTCCTTATCGACCCCCGCCGGCGGAAACCGTGACAGCACCCAGGGCGGGCACGAAATTGTCACGAAACCTCTCTGTCTACACGCCAAGATGCCTTCTGTACTGCAACGTTGGGGACTTGGCGTTGGATGTCACAGGCCTCCTCTGGGAAGGGATCCCTGTGGGACGCGTCCCCTAAGGTGAAAGCGACCCCAGAAAGCCCCAAGCTAAGAGGAGCCCTCCAAGAATGGCACCGAAGAGGCCCCCAAGACAGGGCGCTAGAAAAACACACTGACGGAGGCGGGCAAGGTTAAGGCGGAGGCTGGTCGCTCGCAGAGTCCGACGAGGAAACGTCGTCGCCGTCGCCGTTGCCCTGGTGTAAATGGTATTCGATGGTGTTTATGTCCTCAGCCAACCAAGGGTACGACTCCAAAACTGGCTGGCCATGAACAGTGCCCTGGCGGAGGTATTGCAAGTAGTTTTCAACGTCCTCGTTGCCACCGTCGACTACGTTTGCCCACCCATTCTCGGCGGTCCAGCCCCATAGCTCACGCTCAGACATATCGAACACCCTGTGGAGGATGTGCCGGCCTTTTGCCCACGATGCGAAATACTCCGACTTGGGCTGGTCGTGGTACGCTGGACTGGGCACAACAACTGATGGGGCGAGGAAGCGTCTCTGGACGTACTCGGCCCCATTGCGATCCCGCTGGCGCCGCAGGTCCCCCATTTGTACAACGTCAAACATGGTTGGCAAGTTTTGCGCCAGGGTGCCATTTGCTAGCAATTGCGAAATGTAGGTGGCGTACACATCTACGAAAGGTTCTTTTGCAGCAGGCTGTTGGCCAATATCCTCGGGCGGCCCGTGCGTCGTGGAGGGGGGCTGCAACGTCAGACGGCCGTCCCACGCGCACTTGCGCACAGGCTGCGTAGTCGTGAGGAAAGCGTGGCCAAGAAATATCAAAATGCATTCGGAGGCGGTCCACCACTTCGTTGAAAGCACTTGCTTGAATGTGTAATAAAATATCGACTCAGCTGAATCAAAATATTGTGATTTCGCCAACACTTTCCCTACGACGGTGTCAGCGAAATGATTCCGCTCACTCGCTTTGGCGTAATACTTAATGTAATACCGCTTTACGCTGCGAGCACTGGCCGTAACGCTGCAGTCTCCATTCGAAAGGGTCCCCTCCAACGCCACCATAACCAGGAACAAACGGACGTTCGTGGCACCTGGCGCCAAATATTCTGAAAGTGCTTGCATCACCGAGTTCAACCTGCCATGGTCCCGTTTTGGGGACCAGCGCAAATAAGACGGCCTGCGAGGATCAGGGACCAAGGCTGCCTCTGCGAATAATTCCCAGGTGGCCCCAAATCTGCACCGGCCGTCCTCGCCAGCGCAGTACTGTGCCCCGCGGGACGTAGCTCCTGCGGGGGGGGGTGTTGAGGAAACCCGCGGCCATGTGACACCAAACCACCTCCCCGGACACTCATTCGGAGGAAGGAGGAGGAGGAGGAGGAGGAGGAGGAGGAGGAGGAGGGGGAGGAGGAGAAGGAGGATGAAGAGGAGGAGCAGGAGCAGGAGCAGGAGCAGGAGCAGGAGGCAGCAACAACAGCACGAGCAGCAGGAAGAAAGTGGAAGGAAAAGCAAGAGGGGATGGGAGGGGGAAAGACAAATAGTTGTTTGACCCCCCCATCCGACAGGCTTTCGTTTGCAAGTATGTCTTTGGGCTGCGTGCTCCAACGCAGACGCCCATAAATCGTAAGTTCCATCAGTGTGCCTGTTCCGCTCCCACTCCGACAAAACCGCGCTGGGCACATCCGATGGGTGGCTATACCCGCCAGGAGTCCTCTGAGGCACCTGGACCGTGGGGTCGAAAGACACCGCGCCAGTTCGTGACTGAACGAACGCCGCCCCTTCCCTGACAGCCGGGGTCGCGTTCAAGGCGTCCAAGCTGGTGCAGCCACGAGTCTGGCGGCCGAAAAACACGTCGGACTCATACTGGCGAACAGCTTCTCGGAATGCCGTCGGGCACTGCGGGTCGGAGGCAAGGACGTGTTTATGAAAAACTTCTCGTTGTTGCTCTTCGTCTTTGGCCGTGTAGTTGTCGGCTTGTAGGAACCCCGTGATGTAGACGTCAATGTACATATTCATGAACATCGTGTACAAGTAGGAGCTGTGGGCAGGATACAGCGAATTCTGGGCAGCTGCGCTCTCAATCTCTTGGGCGGGCGCTGGCATCCGTGATTTCAACCATTCCAAGTGCGTGTCTGCAATTGATTGGCTCACCCAGTAGGTGTAACAATGTGGCCTCCATTGTTCGCCTGCGCAAGACGTAGTTTTCAGGTGGGATTGCCAAAACGCTTTCGTATTAGGCAAACTTTTACTGAACATCCACACCTTGTTCATCAGCCATGGGTCGCGCTCTTGAAGTTTCTGGAGCATTTCGTCCCTAGACAAGCTCTGCAAAACGGGGTCGGACTTCAGGGAAACAGAAGTCAACGCCGTCGCTTGGTCCTTGAACCATAAGGAGGACATGAACAGTATCCGCCTACCCTTGCACGCAAGGGACAAGGTGGCGCGCGAGGAGCTGGACTGACCCCCGGCCCGCCCCTATGCTAATGACTCCAAAAACAGGGACCGAAAAACGCAGAGAGGAGATGGCTGGCAGGCGAAAGCCGCGCCAAGGTAAGACCAGGACGGTCCTTGAACCCGACATGGCCTGCCTGATCGTCCCCAGGGGTCCCCATGGCAGCCCAGAAAATGCTTAACATCGCTCCAAGATGACCTCCATGAGCCTCCAATGCGCTGTCTGGCTCGCGCGAGTAACTCCGAGACCATGAGAAGGGCCGCTGCCCGTGACAAAAAAAACATAAATTTTCAGCTGGAAATCCGGAAAGCCCACTGTCGTACCAAGTGTGCTGAGGGTTGGCGGTACGGTGCGAGCCTCTACGATGAACGTTTCGTCGGTTTCGAACGGGCTGCTCAAATCGGACTGCACGGTGAACCATTCCGCAGGCAATGGGCCAGAGGACCACAGAGCATCCACGAATGCGTTGGTGCAGCCTGCCGGGGGGGAGGCCGCCAGATGTTTGTAGCGATGGAGGTGCGGGTCTGCGTCAGACGTCGGTTCGTATTGGTATCGCAATAGGTACGCAACGTAGCGCTTGAGACCCCCAGGCAAAGAAGCTTTTCGTGGTATCGTGTAATCCCCATCGCCGGTAATGAACAAGTGCGGGTAAGCCATGGTCATAGCACCAGGAATTTCTAGGAACCTCGCAAATTGGCGCACATTCCCTATCGTTTCTCTGCCCATGTGCGCGGGCGGATCTCCAGGCCCGCGCTCGGAAGCATCTTGGCCACCGTGCCCCAAGCTCTCGTGCAACGCTGCCGCATGCTGGTCTTCGACGATCCCTGACGCCTCGGCGGCAACTGCACAATTGCGCCTACACGGCAAAGTCTCGTCATCTAACGTGTCAATGGCGGTGAATTCGCCGCGGATGTCGTCCTCGTCGCACGCGATCCCCCAAACATCAGTCAAACACGAGACCAAAGCGCAAAGTGCCAGCGTTTGTCCATCCGATGAAAGGCTCACCGACAAAGCAAGTACGCGTGCGGCAACCTCGATAGAGAAATCCCGAACCAGCCCAGTGATGACGAATCGGTCAGTGCCTGGTACAGCTTCAGCTCTGCCCGATGAT